AATCCAGCATGACCCCCCCTCCTTCCCTACCACCACCACCCCCCAGTCACAGCATCCCCGCAGATCCTCCAGGTACCAAATCCAGGGTGGGGGATACGCGGCCCCTCCAAACATCCTTTTCCTCGGACAAGGCACTAAAAAAAGCCTCTCTCTTTCTCCTCTTCCGGAGAATTGCAGGCAGGGAGTTTTCCTTTCCATTCCCCCCCCCCACCCTTTTCAAAGCGAAAGAGAAAGCGGGCGGGGTGTGTGTCGGTTCCAGGCAAAAGAAAGAGAAAGGCAGAAAGAGCCGGGTTTAAAATCACACCCTTCTGGCCCTTCGCCCATTCCTGGGAAGAAGAAGAAGGCAAAGTTTCGATCCTGCTGGAAAAGGGGCCTTGGGAGGTCTTCTAGTCCAGCCCCCTCCTCCCTGCCCACCCAGGCAGCCTGCACGGCGCCGGCCGGCTGGCTTTGCATGGCCTTCCTCGCCGGGAAGGAGACTGCTGGCTCCCGCGGAGGGAGGGAGGGTGCTTTTTCCTTCCCTTTCCTTCTTTCCCTTCCTTCCCCTCCATTCAGTCTTTTTTTCCTTCCCTTCCTTCCCTTCGATCTTCCTTCCCCTCCATTCAGTCTTTTTTTTTCTTTCCTTCCCTCCGATCTTCCTTCTCCTTCATTCAGTCTTTTCCCCCTTTCCTTCCTTCCTTCTCCTCCATTCAGTTTTTTTCTTTCCTTCCTTCCTTCCCTCCGATCTTTCTTCTCCTCCATTCAGTCTTTTCCCCCTTTCCTTCCTTTCCTTTCCTTCCCATCTTCCTTCTCCTCCAGTCTTTTTTTTCCTTTCCTTCCTTCCTTCCCTTCAGTCATCCTTCTCCATTCAGTCTTTTTTCCTTTCCTTCCTTCCCTCTGATCTTCCTTCTCCTCCATTCAGTCTTTTTTCCCCTTTCCTTCCTTTCTTCTCCTCCATTCAGTCTTTTCTCTTTCCTCCTTCCCTCCCTTCGATCATCCTTCTCCTCCATTCAGTTTTTTTCTTTCCTTCCTTCCTTCCTTCTCCTCCGATCTTCCTTCTCCTCCATTCAGTCTTTTTTCCCCTTTCCTTCCTTTCCTTCTCCATTCAGTTTTTTTCCCCTTTCCTCCCTTCCATCATCCTTCTCCTCCATTCAGTCGTTTTTTTTTCTCTCTTTCCTTCCTTCCTTCCTCCCGAACCTTCCCCGACCCCGGTGGCCAAGGATACTGTTGGGGCGGCGGGGCCTGCAGAGCCCTCATGCCGGCGGGGTGAGGCGGCGGCGGCACCGCAGCGGCAGAAGCAGGAGGGGTCCCGGCCACTGCTACGGCGGCGGCGGCTGCTGCTGCCGGCGGCGGAGGAACGGGAGCAGCGGCAGGAGGCGCCCCGCTGGCGCCGCCGCCGCCGCCGCCGGGTGAGACGGGGAAGGGGTCGCTCCAGCCGTCGCCGCCGCCGCCGGTGGGAGAGGCGGCGGGGGCGGCGGCGGCCCGGCTCCCACGCCGCTCCCTGAGGAGGGCGCCGTTCCCGCCGCCGCCGCCGCTCCCCCCGCTGCCGCCGCCGCCGCCGCCGCGCCGGGCTTGAGGGCCGCCTTCTGCGGTAAACTCATGGCCAAGCGGAGCCACCACCAGGCCGGGGGCGGCGGCGGCGGCGGGGCGGGGGGCGGGGAGCGGCGGGGCGGGGGCGGGGGCAGCCCGGCGGGCCAGCACCCCCGGCCGGTCTCCGTGACAACGCGGCCGGCCTCCTCCTCCTCCTCCTCCTCCTCTCCGCCTCCTCCTCCTCCTCCTCAGGCCGGGGCGAGCGGAGGCCGGTCAGGCCGCGCCGCCGCTCATGAGGCCGCCTCCGCCGGCGGCTCTCGGCTCCCAAGGACCGGGCGAAGCGTCTCCGCGGCCTCTAGCGACGTTCGGCTGAGCGATGCCGGCGGATTCTCTTCACGGACGGAGCGGAATATCCAACATGGCGCTGGCGGCCGCCTCCAGCAGTCCGGCAGGACGGCGGCGGCAGCAGCGGCGGCGACGTCGTCGTCGTCGTCGGACGCTCGGGCAGTTCCGGAGAACGTTCGGCTCCGAGCTTCGGAAGTGCCGCCGGCGCCTGCGCGTCTGAGACGTTTCGGGCTTTCAAGGTTGCCTTTCGGGCCGTGTTCGGAAACGCTCGGCCGGCTTCGGGGGGAAAAGGCTCCGAGAAGCGCTCCGCTAAGGTTTTAAGGAAGACCGTGAGAATGGGAACCGGTAAACGCGCATCCGCCGCGCTTCGACACGTGGGGGCGCCTGCACAAGGATTCAAATTGTTTGTGTTTGTGTGTGTGTGTGTGTGTGTGTGTGTGTGAGAGAGAGAGAGAGAGAGAGAATGAATGAATGAATGAATGAATGAATGAATGAATGAGTGAATGAATGAATGAATTGCTTATTTGTACCCTATGACTATCATTAAGTGTTATACCTTATGATTCTTGATGAACGTATCTGGTCTCTTATGTATATTGAGACCTTATGCACCAAAGACAAATTCCTTGTGTGTCCAATCGCATTTGGCCAATAAAAAAATTCTATTCTATTCTATTCTATTCTATATTCTATTCCATTGTTCCTTCATTCAATTCTTCTATTCTATTCTATTCTATTCTATTCTATTCTATCTATTCCATTCTTCATTCCATTCTTCTATTCTATTCTATTCCATTCTTCATTCCATTCTTCTATTCTATTCTATTCTATTCTATTCTATTCTATTCTATTCTATTCTATTCTATTCTATTCTATGAATGCAATGCATGCATGCATTGGAGTGGTTCAAGGGAGCCCACTTCCACGTTGTGTTTCTTTGTAATTTTATTTCCCTTAGAGCAGTGTTTCCCAAACTTGGCTATTTTAAGATGCATGGACTTCAATTCCCAGAATTCCCCAACCAGTATGCCTGGTTGAGGAATTCTGGGAGTTGAAGTCCATACATCTTCAAAGGGTCAAGTTTGGGAAACACTGCCTTAGAGGAACACAAGAAAATGACCCCCGTGTGATCCCCAAAACTGTTTCTGGGCTGGATTTCCATTAAGAACGTGCCAGGCAGCCTTGGGGCGCTCCTCGCCCCCCCACCCCCCACCCCAGTACTGCCCAGAGCAAATACCAGGAGGCCAGAAGGAATGACCCTAACCCTAACCCAGTGGTGAAATGTAAAATTTGTTACTACCGGTTCTGTGGGCATGGCTTGGTGGGAGGGGTAATATGACTGAGTGGGCATGGCCAACTTTTTTTTTTTTTTTTACTTTTAAAACCATTTTTTCTACAACCTCTTCCGGCTGAAAAAAATGCTTTTAAAGTCTCTGACGATCCCAGCTGACTTTCCTGATAGGCAGAGGCTTTCTTTTTTTTTTTTTTAAGCCTCTGATGATCCCAGCTGAGCCGCGGGATCGATCATCAGAGGCTTTTTTTTTTTTTTTACTTTTAAAAGCATTTTTTCAGCCAAAGGGGTTGTAGAAAAAATGCTCCCTGGATAGTTTTCTGACACCTCCTTATACCTCCAGGGCTGTCATTTCAATCCTCCACAGGGATTGGACTTCCACTCCCATAATTCCCCAGCCACACCAGTATCGACTTATGGGCTCCTACCTTCAAAACGACGCTATAGAGCAGGGGGTCCCCAACCTTTCGGACCTCAGGGACCACTAAAATTCATCATTGTAAACCCCGCAGTCCGCTAATATGAATTTTTAAGAAGATAAATAGTATTTAAAATATTAATATTAATATTTTAAAATTTAAATATTAATATTTAATATTAATATTTAAAAAATGCAAATGATGTTTCTGCGGACCACCAAAATTTTCTCACGGACCACCAGTTGGTGACTGCTGCTATAGAGCACTGCACATCAGAACAACTAGACACAAGAACAGTTTTTTCCCAAACGCCATCACTGCTCAATAAATAATTTCCTCAACACTGTCAAACTATTCACATTAGGCTGCATTAGTATTACTATTAGTCTTCTCATCGTTCCTATCACCCATCTGCCACTTATGACTGCATGACTAACTTGTTGCTGTATCCTTACGATTTATATTGATTGTTTCCTAGTACGATTCCATTGCTTATTTGTACCCTATGACTATCATTAAGTGTTGTCCCTTATGATTCTTGACGAATGTATCTTTTCTTTTTATGTACACCGAGAGCGTATGCACCAAAGACAAATTCCTTGTGCGTCCAATCACACTTGGCCAATAAAGAATTCTATCTTCTATCCATCTATACCAGGGGTCTGCAACCTTAAACACTCAAAGAGCCATTTGGACACCGTTTCCCACAGAAAAGAAAACACCGGGAGCCACAAAACCCTTCCCGAGCCTATTTCTTCAGCGGCCACAAAACTAGCATATGTAGTCGAATTAAACACTGTTTTTTTCTGAAACTTTTCTTTTCTTGGATTTATCCATGGTTGGCCTACTGGAGGTTGAAAAGCTCAATAAATCACGTGCCGGCGGGTGTCGCAGACTGGCGGTTGTGACGCATATTTTGAGTGACGGAGACGCAGCAGAGAGATGGAAGAGCCACATGCGGCTCCAGAGCTGCAGGTTGCTGACTCCTTTCAGCTGCAAGTTGCTGACAGTTGGGCCAGATACCGGGCCAACACTGCCCAATCTGCCCCGTCTCAAATCTTCTTGCAAGGATTTGGCGCTCTGGAGAACAGGCTGAGGCGATCCTCCACTGGGAAAAGGGGGGGGGTGTTTTGGTGCCAGCAGTTCTTCCCCTTCTGGACCAGGCAGGCACAGCCGGCATCTCCCCCCACCCCCTCCAGGAGATCGAAGTTCTCAATAAAGAACTACAGAGCACTTCGTTCACTTCCCTCGCCAAGCGTAGACTGTACTGAAGGGGAATTTTCTATTCGGACCCGCGTCCAGTGAATTAACCTGTCTTTGAATGGGGCCTCGGGCCCATCCGTTGGACTGAACAAGACGGGGCACCCAAGGGGAAGCATTTGAAGAGGTTTTAAGTTAGGAGAACACGCACACACACACAAAAAGCAGGGAGACCCCGATCGTTTCAAACCGTGGTAAAAAGGCGTTTATTTAAAAAAAAAAAATTAACAGTCTTTTCCAAAAGGCAGGGAGACTTTAAAAAGAACAAATTGGTGGGGCAGGTCCATCCAGAGTTGGGGTAGCGCAGATTCCTTGCAAAAAAATCTTTTTTTCTTTTCTCAGAAGACTCAATTCACTGCACCCCAGAGAATTTATGGGGAGGGGAAGGGAGGGGGGGGGACACATTCCTTTCCTGGTGCGATGGGGCAGAAGAGCTGTTTGGCACCACCACAAATTCCATCCCTTAAAACCACAAGGGCACATCTGGAAGCCATTGGCGGCCTTCCCGGGGATCCGATTACCAAAAGCAGATTGCACATCTGGATACCATTTGGCTTCGTGCAGGAGGAACACGGTGGAAAACCCCACATTTGCACTGGAGGAACCCTAAAATCATCGGATTTCCCACTCCAGCACCCCCCACACCCTGGGAGAGGGAGGGGGAAACAAACTACCTTCGTGGCCATCCAGAACCAACCTTTCCCCAACGTGGTTAGACGGAGCTGCACAGAGACCCAACCTATCTGGAGGACGACTGCTTGGGGAAAGCTGATGGGAGATGATCTCTGGGCTCCTCGTGGAACCCCTTCGGAGGCGCTGATCAACCCCCCCACCCCCCCCAAAAAAGGCAGTCTGGGAAAGTCTTATTGCGGGATTCTGTACAGAAGGTGTCAGCTTTGCCAAAAAGAGGGCTGGTGCAGGAAAGCTTTGCTGGCATTAAGGCAGGCAGAGGGTTCCTGTCAGGGCTTCAGAAACCCCTCGCCCCAAGGGGTTCGGGAGAACCTCTAGCTAAGATTCTGTGCAGTTCAGACAACCCCCAAATCCCACTCCTGGCTGGCCCCTCCCACCCCAGCAGTCCCCACGCGGCCTGTTTTGGATGCAGGCAAGTGCAGGCCGCACGCTGAGGCTCGGGGAAGACGAAAAATGGGCCTACTGGAAGTTTGGGCCCGTTTCTGGCCTCCAGAGCCTGGGGAGGCCGTTTTCGCCCTCCCGGAGGCTTGAGAAAAGCCTCCGGAGCCTGGGGAGGGCAAAAATGCCCCCCCTCCCCAGATGTGGTGCAGGAGGCTGACTAGGCCATGCTCACCATGGCCACGCTCACCCATTAACTGGGCACAGAACCCCTTGCTAAAATTTTTGAAGCCCACCCCTGAGGTAACTCCACTCCCCTCTTCTGCCAAGCAGCCCAGAAGGGGAGACATTGCTCGGTGTCTGCTTTTCAGCAACGTTTTCCTGTGCCCAGGACCTCAGAGCCCCGCTCTTCCAATTCAGCCCAGACAACTCTGGGGCTGAGGGCCCCTTGTTTTGGATTTGTGGGGGGCAGCCTAGTGTGGCCCCTGCTTAACTCTATAGCTCTGCCCTCATCCCCGCTCTTTAATTCGAAAAGGAACAGCTGACGAAAGGTGAACTGAGAGACAGATCAGCTGTGTGAGCTTCTGAGGAGAACCCCACGCCTCACGCCCGACACCCGAATGCCTGGCACGGACCCCGGCAGATCCTGGCCCCGAAGCCAGAAGGGCATCTCACAAACCTCACATTTCCCCCTTCAAAGGGTGGGGGGGCAACTTACATACGCATCAAAACAAAAAATAATTGCCTTTCCCGAAATCTGTTCATTAGGAAGCGAGCGAGTGACAGTAAAACAAAGAACATCATAAAATTTTTTAAAATTCCATACGTTTCCCCCTTCCACCCCTCCACCCCCCCAAAATTTCCAGTGTTCTGCAAGGCTGTAAAAATAATTTCCGTATTTTACAAAAAGCTGCGTTGTGTCCTGTAGTGTGTTGCGAGGCCAGTGTGGGTTAACGCAGCGGAGCGGTTCTCCCTTTGGAAAAAGTGGCAAAAGACTTTAAAAGCTGGCTCAGGTCTTTGCAAAGGAAGGATTGGCGCACCGACAAACGCTCTCGGTCCACGGGAGATGCGGTGGAAAGGTTTCTGTGGCGAGTGGGGTGCCACGTAAAGCGGTTTTCCGGAGTCCGTTTGCAGCTAAGAGTGAGGGGGGGGTTTCAGGGAGCCCTGAAAGGGGCAGTCACCCTCTTGTCCTTAACACGGAGGAAAGTGGAGAGCCGGACAGTTCTGCGTGGGTGCCCTGTTTTTTTTTTTTTTCCTGTGTGGGAGAAAACTCACCAAACTTCACATTTCTGTGGGGGATTCATAGGCGAACCGGGCCTGCACTGGAAGTGCTTGGAAAAGGCCCCGGAATTGGAGACTGTCCCGATGACTCGGAAGCGGGAAGGGCTGTGGGGATCCGTGACGAGTCCTTCATGGGAGCTCTCCGGCGTACGGACAGAACACCAGACCTGAGAGAAGCGAGGGGCAAGAGACAGGACTCAGCGGGGCAGGCTGAGGGGTGGGAGGCTGAGAGCAGAGGTGGGCTGCTGGGGGTTCAGGAGAACCTCTAGCTAAGATTCTGTGTAGTTCGGAGAACCCGCAAATCCCACTCCTGGCTGGCCCCGTACACCCCGCCCTGCCCCTCCCCTCCCCGGAGTACCCATGCGGCCCGTTTTGGATGTAGGTAAGTGCAGGGCACGTGCAGAGGCTCATGGAGGGTGAAAAACGGGCCTACTGGAAGTTCGGGAAGGCCGGAAACGGGCCTCCAGAGCCAGGGGAGGCCATTTTCGCCCTCCCAGAGGCTCGAGAAAAGCCTCTGGAGCCCGGGGAGGGCAAAAACGCCCCCCTACCGCTGTGGTGCAGGAGGCCAACTAGGCCATGCCCACCACGGCCACGGCCACCCAGCAACTGGGCAGAGAACCCCTTGCTAAAATTTTTGAAGCCCATCCCTGACTGAGAGAGACCTTTGGGGGAATTGTGGCAGGGAAAGGGGGAGAGAAGGGACTAGAACTCCCACCTGGGCAAAGGCGACGAAGAAAAGCTGGTCGTTGGTGAGGCCAAGGGCGGGCAGAGACGCCTCCTCCCCATTCTTCTTCACCCAGTTCCGATAGGCCTGCGGGCCAGGAAAGAGCAGAGTGAGCTGTACCTGTGGAGCCAGGCTGGAGCTCCCCACAAGGGCCGCACCCCTCAACTCACCCGGTAGGCGGCCTTCAGCCCCCCGTTGTCCGCAATGTTCTCCCCCAGAGTGTGCTTGCCATTCACGGCTTCTCCGTTGACGGAGTAGTTGCCATACTGCTCCACCAGGCACTGGGTGTGTTGCTTGAAGGCCTCCACCGAGGAGTTCTTCCACCAGGGACGGAGGTTGCCGTCCTTGTCGTATTCACGTCCTGCCAGGCCCGGGAAGGAGAAACACCAACAAAGACCAGAGCTGGTCTTGGTTTGCCAGGAAAGGAGAGCCAGGCCTGCCCAAACGGCCTGGAAAGATTTTGCTACCCAGGTCCGATTTATCCGTCGGACGGAAAGCAGTGGCCCCGCTTCCCACCAAAGGAGCCTCGCGCGCTCACCTTGATCGTCAAAGGCGTGCGTCAGCTCGTGGCCCACCACGACGCCCAGCCCCCCAAAATTGATAGCCCTGTAAAAGAAGCCACAAGACAGAAGGGCTCGATTGGACAGTGTCCTGGCTGCATCTCACCTATCTGAGCTTCAGGATCTGATTGGCAGATATTAGCGCGGAGGAGGGAAGGATTGGCATGTGAAGGAAGGGGAGAAAACACCTGATTGGACATTTACAGATAACCAGGGGATGGCCGGGATGGGGGTGGGGGAACGTAGAGGGAGGGATAAGGAACTTTCCTTTGTGTTGTTTGCACGGGAAAACCTCAGATTCGGCTTATACTATTTCTATAACCTGTTGTGGCCTGGGCCCTCCAGCAGCCAAATCAGAGGAGGAGGCGGCGGCGTGGGAGTCAGGGTCAGTATCCAGGCAACCTGAGAGCTCCGAGGGGGAAGAGGGAATGGAGCTGTCAGAGAGAGAGAGACAGAGACGGAGCCTGGGCTGTCCGCCAGCCCTCAGATGGAGAGTCAACAGGTGGCTGATGAGGAAGAGGAGGAACAGCTGGGTCCAGTGCCTGACGTGCGGATGCGCAGAAGGCAGAGGAGAGGAGAGCAGTGGAAATCAATGGGCCGGTCCTCGGGATGGAAGAGCCACTGATACTAATGAAGCCCCATCCTAGCTCTGGGGATAAAAGGCAGGGGGCGGAGATCAATAGATGTGGCAGACAACTATTCATCTCCCCTGCCGGACGGACTTGTTAGCCTGCGGTGAGAGAGAAACTTTTTGCCGGAGCTGCTGGCGCTCCTCATAAAGGAATCATTGCTTCAACTACAGAGGGTTTGTCGTGTTTGAGGAGCTGGGTCAGGAACATAACCATTGAAGCTTCAGTAAAGTATACTCTTTGCAAAAATCAAATCTTTCTTTGCTAGATGACTGAGCGGGATGGTTGACATCGTCCCCCAAAATGCTGCCCTGCAGCATGCGTCTTTCGACCCATCAAAATCTTCTCTTTTTTTTTTTTTCATTTCAACATGGTTCAGTCCCCTTCTCCACCATCCAACCCCCATGAGATTTTGGCTGAGAGTGAAGGACGTCACTGGATGTTCACACACACACACACACACACACACACACCGATGCCTTTGGGCATCAAAAGGGGCAGCTGGTGCAGCTCCTGGAGGAAAACCGGGTGCCTCTGCCTTCCTCTCATCTTCTTCCCCCCCCCCCCCCCCGATGCCAAGAGACAGGAGGGGGGAGGCCTTTCGTACTTGGGGTAATTCCGCGTGTAGAACGGAGACTGCAGAATTCCCGCGGGGAAGATGACCTCGTTCTTGGTGGGGGAGTAGTAAGCATTCACAGTCGGAGGGGTCATGCTCCACCTGGGGAAAGGTGAAAAACCAAGAGAATTCATCAGGACCAAGGACCAAGCTGCACGGCTCAGCTCTCCCCTTAAGCCGCCTCCTCCCCAATTCCTGGATCTTTGCATTTTGGAAAAAGGGCAAAGAAGAGCAAACTAAGATGACTCTAAGGCCTGGAGATTAAAAAAATATACAAAGAACGCTGGCAGGAATTGGGTTTGGCCAGTCTAGAGAAAAGGAGGACTAGGAGCAGGGGTGAAATCCAGCAGGTTCTGACAGGTTAAGGAGAACTGGTAGCGGAAATTTTGAGTCGTTCGGAGAACCGGTAGCAGAAATTTTGAGTAGTTCGGAGAACCGGTAGCGGAAATTTTGAGTAGTTTGGCGAACCGGCAAATACCACCTCTGGCTGGCCCCCGAGTGGGGTGGGAATGGAGATTTTGCAATAGCCTTCCCCCAGGAGCGGGGAGGGAATGGAGATTTTGCAGTATCCTTCCTCTGCCACGCCCACCAAGCCACGCCCACCAAGCCACACCACGCTCACCAAGCCACACCCACAGAACCGGTAGTCAAAAAATTTGGATTTCACCACTGACTAGGAGGGACATGATAGCAGTATCCCAGTACTTGAGGGGCTGCCCCAAAGAAGAGGGGGGGCTCAACTTGTTTTCCAAAGGACCAGAAGGCAGGCCAAGAAACAATGGATGGAAACTAATCGAGGAGAGAAGCAACCTGGAATTAAGGAGAAACTTCCTAACAGTGAGGGACAATTAATGGGTGGAACAGAAGTTGCCTCCGGAAGTTGTGGGGTGCTTCATCACTGGAGGTTTTTAAGAAGAGACTGGACAGCCATCTGTCTGAAATGGGATAGAGTCTCCTGCTTCAGCAGAGGGTTGGACTAGAAGACCTCCAAGGTCCCTTCCAGCTCTATTCCTATTGATTGATTGATCTGGCCCAAGAGGACAGTTCTCAGGCGATTTCCTACTCACTGGTCGCGGTTCGGAGCCTTGCGAAGCTGGTCAGCAGCCACCCGGGCGGAGAAGTTGTAGAACTGCATGACGTTCTCGTAGTACAGGTCGGGCACGGGGTCGTACTGCCAAGAGGGAGAGCCTCGTCAGATCCAGATGCCCACCCAAGAGGGTTCCATGAAGGCGGTGCGCCCCCACCCCTCGCTCCCTCCCCGCAAGGCAGGTGTGACACTCACGTCGTGGAAGACTTTGTCCAGCTCTTTGGGGTCCAGGATGAACTTCGGGTAGCCAATCATGTCATAGATGGCGTCGGCCTTCTCTCTGGCTGACCGCCTGGTCTCCTCGTCCATCCACCCAAGGCTGGCCAGGCTTTCCTCCAGCGCCCTTTTAATCTCCAGGATCATCTCCTCAGCCTGTGGGGAGAGCGAGGGTAGCCAGCCCTTCTCTGGCAGTGTGGGGGGTGCCCCAGGGCAGGAGGGCATCTGAAGCTGGAGGAGGAGCAAGGCTGCTCTAGGAAGGAGGAGGTCTCCTCTCTCCTCCTGGGTGGGGAACCCCCGACCTGCTCCAGGGGAAGCCCATGATTCTGACGGGAACCCATGAAGTGAGAACCCGGAGCTGCCCACCTCTACCCTTCTTCTAAGAACCCCGCAAAAGAGGGGCAGCTGCCATGGCTCAAGCCAGGTTGGGTGGAGAAGGCATGCTTACGACGGCCCGGCTATCTTCGGCAAAGGTGGCCCTCACAAACATGGCGCCCAAGACGAAGCCCAGGCTGTTATCTGTGTCGCCGATGCAGCGCTTCCAACGGGGTACGCAGGTCTGCGAGGGGAAGTGGGGGTGTCACTTGCACCAGCTCCGGCCTCTGGCTGCCCACTTAACAAGAGATGGCCCTGTCCCGTGGCCCTGTGCCGGAGTTGCTGTTTTGGGTTCAGGCGGCGGAGGAAAGGAGGGAGCATGGCCGGGAAGTGCCCAAAGGATGCCCGTGGCTGCAAGGCACCAGCCGTGGCGGGAAAAGCCTTCCGATCCAGGGTAGCCGAGAGCCAGGTGGGTGTGGTGCTGCAGAGCTGGTAGCTGGCAGCAGAGGGCGCTCCAGGGCAGCCAGTCCCGAGAAGCAAGGGGGGAGGCAGGGGAAATCTTTTCCCTCCCATCCAGCGGAACTCTCCCCCCCCCCCCCGCAAACCCCAGCTACCCCGTCCTACATCCTCCTCTGCAGCCGAGCCCGGCACCCACCTTCTTCGATCCGTACATGACTTCGGTTAACTTCTCCTCTGCGTCTTGGAACCGCTGGTCCAAGAAATTCGCTCCTTTCCTCACCAGATGCCAAATCATGTAGTTACGCAACACCCTGGCACAGGCAAAAGAGAAGGGCTCAGGAAGGCGGGGAGGGATTTTCTTCTGCCCTGGCCAGGACCGCCCCGAGGTCCTCTGGTGCAGTGCCCCTCCCCCCCACCAAAGTTTCTGCCCCTCCCTCACCTCTTGTCCGTGTTCAGGATGAGCAAGGAGACGCGATGGAGATACTCCTGGGCGTAGACCACTACGGGCTCCGATTCATTGATCTCCACCGGGTCGAAAAATTCCTTGAGCAAGGGCATCCAGTCGATGGCCGGGGCCAGGTCCTTCCGGGGCAGAAAGGAGGAGCGGAGGGTCAGATCTCCACCTTCCTGCCTTCCACCCATTCGCCACTTGGGAACGTACAGCTGCCAGAGGATCAGACTGGCCCCCCAAGAGTAGAGCTGGGCTCAGGGACGCCGGGTTTGACTTCTATTTCTTTTTTAAGTCTCCTCTCGGATGGGAAGAAACGTACCCAGGAGACCTGGGATCCTCCTGCATCCTTCTTCTGACCCAGCTCCCCAAACATGACAAACCCTCTGAAGTTAACTCAAAGATTCCTTTATTAGGAGTGCCAGCAACCCCGGCAAAAAGTTTCTCTCTCACCGCAGGCTAACAAGTCCGGCCAGCAGATGAATAGTTGCCTGCCACATCTATTCATCTCCGCCCCTGCCTTTTATCCCCAGAGCTAGGATGGGGCTTTGCTAATAGCAGTGGCTCTTCCATCCCAAGGACCGGCCCATAGATTTCCACTGCTCTCCTCTCCTCTGCCTTCTGTGCATCCACGCGTCAGGCACTGGACCCAGCTGTTCCTCCTCCTCATCAGCTACCTCCAGACCTGGGAGCTGTTGACTCTCCATCTGAGGGCTGACGGATGGCCCAGGCTACGCCTCTGTCTCTCTCTCTCTCTCTGACAGCTCGGAGCCCTCAAGTTGCTTTGATGCTGACCCTGTCTCCCATGCCTCCTCCTCATTTGGCTGCTGGAGGGCCCGGCAGCCGACAGTCCACAATAATCCTCATCTGAAGGGCTACTTGGCACATTTTTCCACCCAAAGAAACAATGCTGGGATGCCCCCGTCGTCATCCCTTCCCAAGGAGGCCAATCCGATGCAGAGTTGATAGCAGAGCCCCCAACTTCCCACCCACCCACCTGGCCACAGTCTGCCTCACCTTGAGCTCCGCAGCGGGCATTTTGTGATAAATCACTTCCTCATCCCGGAGCTTCTCCTGGGGAGTGGTGACATTGGCCAAAGCGGTCTCAAAGTCCAGGATTTCCTGCATCTGTGGCCGGATCGTGGCCTCCTCCTCCCCGCTGACCAGCATGCCAAGCTGGACCATGAAGTTCAGGTACGCTGCCAGCACCTGCAGGACCAAGGAAAGGGACGTGGCATCATCAGCTCCACCGGGAAAGACCCTGCGTTTGGGCAGGACAGCAGTGCCAATGACGCCTCAGGTTCTTCATGGCTCTGGAGGGCCACAAAACAAGGCCATGCCACCCTCACAAGGTGACGGGCACAGTCTGGAAGGAGGGAGGCTTGTGCCTCTCAGTGGGCCTTGGGTGCAGGATGATGTTCTGCCCCAGCTATGGACCCCAAAGAACACGGCACACGCAGTGTCTGTACAAACCTTAGTTTACTAAATTAAATCAGTCTTTTTCAAATAAAGGCTGTTAATTAACTTTCTTAACAGCCTACAAGGATCCAAAGAATAAATAATCGTAATCTTACTATGGTTGGCAGAAAGCCCAGAAGTGATTTGCAGAGAACTAAGATCAAGACGCGAAGGAGAGTGAACGAAGTTGTTCCCTGCAAATTGCCTCAGTTTCCTTAAATAGGCTAAGGGAGTGGCCAATTAGCCCCAAGCCTTACTCTCAAGGAGACCTCCTCCTGAGGAGCCACTCCTGCCTTTTGGCAGTTCTGTGCGCCCGTGCATCGAGAAGAGGCTCCTCCTCTTCTTCCTCTTCACCCATGGAAACTTCTGGAAGTTCTGAAGGTCCTGGCTGAATCCTCGCCTCTGGCACCACATCTTCTCCAGCCTCCTCATTGTCTGACTCGAGTGCCAGCTACACAGGCTGCTGGCGCAGCACCACACCAGCCTCCTCGCTGTCGGAATCAGCTACTAGCTGCACAGGCCACTGATGGGCCACAACAGATGATGACTTACTTTCTCATTCTGGGTTTTGTTGAGGTAGTACTCCCTGGATGGCAGCCCCAGCCCCGACTGGTCAATCTGGAAGAGAAGCAGCAGCAACAAAGGGGTGACCCGGGGCAGGGGGGGCAGAGGAGAGAGGGTGGGCAGGTGATTGGGGGGGGGGGGGGGGGTCCCCTACCTGGATGATGTTGCTGCTGGAATTCTTGGAGTCGACGCTGACAGAGATGGAGAAGAAGGGAGTCAGTTGGTACTGGGCCACCAGAGCCAGCAGCATCTCATTGAAGCTGTCCTCTCCCAAGGGGGCGCTGATATTCCAGCCTCCAAGCTTGGGAGGGGGGGGAAGAGAGAGAGAGATCCCCTCAAGGTCAAGAGCAGGAGAGCCAAAGGGGCCCAAGCCCCCCCCACCCAGCCTGGCTTTCTTGTCATCCGGACTGAAAATCTTAAAAAGAGCATCAATTGCAAAGTTATTTTGTGCTCCGGGAGATGCCAGTTTGATTTAGTATTGGCTTCTGACTACACTTCCCATCACTCTGAACCGGACCCAACTCTGGCTGGGAGTGCTGGGAGCTGTAGTCCGAGGCATCCAGGATGCTGAGCGGAGGGCCCCGGAGCCTCTGTTCACTCCCACAAGGGTTTGGCCAAGGGAGCGCTTTGCGGAAGGAAGAGAGAGAGCTGGATGCTTCTGCCAAGCGAGGCCTTTGCTCCCAAGACCCATCCGGCTACCTTCTGGATCTGATCCATCAGCGGCCTGGCCTGCAGCTCCTCTATTCGGCTCTCGTTCATGCAGGACTGGTAATAACGCTGCACTTTGCGTTCGGCCTCGCTCAACGACGAGGTGGCCGTAGTGTTCTCTGCAGAGAAGAGAGACCAGTGAAGACTCCAGGCTCCTGCATCCCACGGCCCTTCCCCTGCCGGATTGAAAGGAACCCATGGGGCCTCCTCCTTGACCCTTCTTTTCACCCCACGCTCCAACATCTGAGATCTGTTTGGGGCTCAGTTGGGGAGAAGAGTCACTCCTTCCCAGGGAGGCCTCCCTCGAGGGGCACCCCACCCCATCCTATGGGGCGCGGAAGATACCCCCAGCCTTGGCTGTGCAGGCTTTGCTTCGGTTTTGCTGGAGGGGAGGATCGGGCACTTCAGAAGACCAGACAGACGGACAGACAGGGCAGCCGTGGGTTTGGGCCGGATAAAGGAAGATAAGGGTCTGTAGCTATGGAAACCCCCTCCCCTCCAGACTGCGCCCCTCTTCACTGCCCAGAGAGGAATATTTAATCAGAGGAATTCTCCGCGCCCCCTCCTCTCCGCACATGAATGCATCTTTGGGGAGTGGGGGTGGGATCATTCCTGGGAAATGGCAAGAGGCCCAGTCATGGAAAAACTGAAGCGGGAGGGGTCTGTTGGGGAACGAAAAGACGCAGAAAAGGGAGAAACACACAAACAGAGAGAGAGAGAAAGACACACACACAAAGAGTTCTTCAGGGGTCTCTGTCCTTCTCTTTCCCTTGCAAAGACCATCCCCCCGGGAGAAAGAAACCCCCCCCCCAGCCTCCAAAGAGGGATAATCTGGCACCCCCTCGCCCCTTCCTTTTTAGCCCAAGACTGGGGGGCTCCCCCCCTTTCAGTCCCCAGAAAGCATCTCGGCCCCTTTGCAAGCCACTCCAGAGGGGCACATCCAGGGGTGGGCTTCAAAAATGTTAGCAAGGGGTTCTCTGCCCAGTTGCTCGGTGGGCGTGTCCTAGTCGGCCACCTGCACCATGGCGGGGGGGGGCTTTTTGCATCCAGAGGCTTTCCTCGAGGCTCCGGGAGGACAAAGATGACCTCCCCAGGCTCCAGAGGCCCTCTGGAGGTTGGAAATGGGCCCATTTTTGCTCTTCCCAAACTTCCGGTAGGCCCATTTTTCTCCCTCCCCGAGCCTCTGAGTGTATCCTGCACTTATCTGCATTCAAAACGGGCCGCGTGGGGATCGGAGACAGCCAGGAGTGGGATTTGGAGGTTTTCCGACCTGCACAGAATCTCCCGAACCCTAGTAGCCCACCTCTGAGCACATCCCTAGCTGCGACCCCTGCCCCCAACCCACCCAGGAGGCTCTTGAGGGCTGCCAGGTTGTGTTCCCAAAGTTTGTTGAAGGTCCCCCAGCGGGAGTGGCCATCCGGGATGGGGTTGCTCTTGATCCATCCGCCGCAAGCATAGCTGAAGAAGTCCTCGCAGGGGTCCACACCTTGATCCAGCGAGCTCAGGATGGAGCTGGTCACCGAGATGCAGGCCTGGGTCAGGCAGGGCTCTGAGGGGAGGAAGAGGAGGCTGCCGTCACCGCAGGCGAGGGTTGGGGGAAACCCACCCCGAAGGGGACAGGCCGGGCGGGCGGCCAGCAGACTCACGCGTCTGGTACTGGAAGAGCAGGACGGCCAGGCACGCCAACAGACCCAAGAACAGGATAACCGTCAAGATCAGGAGGCGCTTCTCCGGCCGCGTGCGCTGCGCCCAGCAGCCCTTTCTGCCCCCTGGCCCGCGGAAGTTCACCTAGGAGAAGGAAGGAAGGAGGGAAACTCAGGCCCTCCAAGGCAGAGAAGCAGCAGCCCCCCTCCGCCACGGGGCGCAGAGATGTGGAGAGCCCTCCCTGTCTCCTCGCCAGCTGCAGCTTCCAGAGCCTTGCCCAGGCTTCAAAGGAGACAGAAAGACAGCAAGGCACCCCCTCCCCTCTCAGGGCTGCAAGAGAGCCAAAGCAGGAGCTTCATCCAACGTTAAGAGCACAACCGGGCCCCTCCGAAACAGGCCATGCGCTCAGCTGGGTGCCAGGGGCCACTTCTTGCCTCGGCTAAACAGGAAAACCTTGCTTCATGCACACGTTTCAGCTAGGTTAAAAATGACCGAATATAAGGTATGTATAACGCAGGGATGGGCGGGAGGACCAAACTAACTGTCAGAGAGAACTGGTTCGCTCTCAGCTCACCATCGCTGCTACTGGCTCGCCCGAACCGGCCTGAACCAGTAGAAACCCACCACTGCGCTGCACCATAGAGAGTATTTTAACTTCGTGCACCTGTGCATGGTTTGCCAATTGCACAGTGGCAGATAGGACAGCGCTCCAGAGGGTCAACGTCATTGCCCAGAGGATCACGGGTTGCCCTCTCCCCTCTTTGGAAGAGTTTTATAGCTCCCGCTGCCTTAAGAAAATTCAAAACATTCTTAAAGATCCATCTCATCCTGGGCATCCTTTTTTTTTTTTTTTAAACTATTACCATCTGGTAGCCGGTACAGGATAATAAAAACAAGGACATTTGTTGGCTGAAAAACAGCTTCTCTCCCAGGGCAGTAACTATATTGAATTCTACAGTATAATGCAATATTAATGCAATACCGGGTTTTCAATTTCAATTATATATAATGTGAAGGATGCGTGTCCGTGTTTTTATTTTTTATAATTATAATGTACACTGAAGATGGCATTTAATTTCGTTGTACGAGGCACAATGACAATAAACTAAACTATAAACTAAACTAAACCTCCCTTTCTGGGGGCGATGGGGGGGGGGGACAGCAGCCCAGAGCAGAGACTGCCAAGGAAGGCCACACAAGACCTTCAAACCTCCTGCTGGGAAGGCTGATGTCCCGGCTTCAGTAGGGCGCATCGGACGGTGCTGCGGTGATGGCTGAGGCTGCCCATCCCCCCCCATCGACAGCCGCAGATTTTTTTTTGGCCTTGGCTGCCCAGCTTTTCGCCTTCTGAGCTGCCCGGAAGCCTCTGAGATCACAGAGTGGGTGTGACCGTTCAAATCAATTAAAAGAGAGAAATGGCATTCCCAGAATAAGTGGCCGAAAGGGCCCTCCAGGCAGAACCGGGAAGGCCGGATTAAGGAGCTGCTGACTTTTGGGCTTGACCTCAGGAAGGGCCCCCGGCACTCCCACAGAAGCAATAGTGGCCTCCTCCTCCTCTACGGCAGGGGAGCCAGAGGACAGGTTTCCCCGCAGGCAGCCCCCCCCTTCTGGTGCAGGGAGGGAGGGCAGGAGGGTTTGCGGTCACTCCTGCTCTGCCTTGGCCAGAGCTCCTCCGTCAAAGGAGGAGGAGGAGGAGGAGGGCCAGGGAGCTGGGAGGGAAAGGGCAGGAGACGGGCAGCAGGGAAAAAGAAGGTCTGGGAAGGCTCAGAGACTCCCGAGCGGCCCCCAGAGCAGAGTCAAACGAGGAGTTTCCGCCTCGGCTGCTGCTTCGGGGCTGCGGAGACTTTTCCGCAGAAGGAATTCTGACTCTGTTTTGCTCCCCCCAAAAACGGCCTGCGGTGCCATGTTTGACACAGAAAGAGCCCGGTGGCTCAGCAGACGGATAGCATTGTGATTAACACCAGCTGCCTGCAATTACTGCAGGTTCGAATCTCGCCAAGGCTCAAGGTTGACTCAGCCTTCCATCCTTTCTAAGGTAGGTAAATTGAGGACCCAGTTTGTGGGGGCAATAAGCTGACTTTGTATAAATATACAAAAGGATGAAGGCTATTGCTTAGCGCATTGTAAGCCGCCCTGAGTCTCTGGAGAAGGGCAGCATATAAATCAAATTTAAAAAAATAAAAAAATAAATAAAAAAAAATTAAAAAAACAGTGTAAAAGCAAGGAGCGAACGAACAGGGAATGGCTTGGGCAAACGAGGGCACCTCCTGAGCTGACCCTTTCTCTGCTTGTGCCCCCCCCTCAAGAGGCAGGGGTCAGCCCAGGGCCGAGTGGAGACTGGGTCTGGGCAGGCAAAGATTCGGGAGTGGGAATTCCAAACACCAGCAAGGCCACAACTGTTTTTGGACCCAGGAGGCTGCAGAGAGGCCTATTAGGCCCAAAACGGGGGGTGGGGGTGCGGGGTTCGTGCGTGTGGGGAACGGGGGGGGGGGTTGCACATGCATGTGCGGGGCGACGTGGGGGAGTCGTATGCGCATGCGTGGAGGGCACGCATTGCATTACGGGTGCCGGCATACACGCGTGCCTTGTTGCGTGCACACTTTTCACACACGAAAGAGAAAAAGGTTAGCCTAAAGGAAGTTTAAAGGACGCAGAGGAGGCTCATCTCCTGCCCTTCGCCTTAGGGCTCTGGGCATCAAGAGAAGCGAGCAAACCCAAGAGAAAGCCGGCATCATTTCCCACCTCCCGCTTTCTGCTGATAGCTAATCTTTTTCTCTTCGTGTGCACATGCTGGCATCCATAATGCAATGCATGGCCCCCCCACATGCACGCATGACCCCCGCCACGTCCCCAGGTCCATGTGCGTGTGACCCCACCACGCTCCTCCTGCGCATGCGCCCGTGATGCCCCGCCCCCCGTTTTGTGCCTAGTAGACCTCCCTGCGGCCTCCTGGGCCCAAAATAGGCCGGGTGTGTGTGTGTGCTCCCCCCGCATTTACACATGCGATCCCCGGTCCCCTGTGCATGCACAGCGTCTCCCACGTGCGCCACCCCCCCCGCACATCCCGAAAATCAGCTGGCCAGCGGGAGGCGCGTGCACGCATGCACAGTAGAGCTAAGCTGGGCGACGGCACGCATGCCCACAGAGTGGCACGCGTGCCATAGGTTCGCCATCCCGGTGCTAGGGGAATCCCACCCTCCCGTCATGGCTCCCGAGATATGGCGGAAGACTGGGCAGCTTGGCCAGGGGAACAAGGGCAGAGTCGAGCCCGTCCTTCCCATGAGTCTCTCGGCAGCCCTACAGCGGATTAGACAAAGCTGGGAGGGGGGATTTCAGGGGTCTTTAAGGAGGTGAGGCTGAGTCCCAGGCAACCCTCTGCCGAGGTAGGGGTGGGGCTACCCTCAAGGGTGAAATGCTCCCGGATCCGACCGGATCGCCCGGCCCAGTAATGATCTTGGCCGTTGGTTTGGCGATCCGGTAGCAATGGCGGAGTGTCATTACTTCCTGGTTTTAACCAGGAAGTAATGTGATTTTTTACCTTCTGTGCATGCTTTGCTCGTGCGCACTTCTGAACCGGTAAGGAAGGTAAGTAGATTTTACCCCTGGCTACCCTCCCTCCTACCGTTCCTGTTCTCACCTGGACCCCATTGGGGTAGATCTCTCCTTCCAGAGAGTCCACCAGCTCCTCTTCGTCCAGGGTGGCCCGCTTGTAGGTGGACATCTGAAAAGCAAAGGGCAGAAAGAGGCTCTCAGCACATCTGGGCCCCACACCGGGCTCTTGTGCCCCACCTGGCCCCACACATTGCGCACCTGGAGGGGCCTACTCTGACCACAAAGCAGCCAAGCCCTCCCGTAAAGGTGGCAGTGGGGTCCCAGTGTGCAATTCCCTCCTAGCCTCAGTGTCCGTCCGTCCGTCCGTATCCCCACCACCGCCCCACGCTCGCTCCCTTCTCCCCACACAGCTCAGACCTCCTTCCTCCTGCTGCTGTTGCTGGAGTGGGATGGCCTTTGGGCAAGGAAGGGCTGGCAAGAGAGCTCCAAAACAGGAAGCCCATCCAGGCAGGCGGATACCCGGGGGTTTGTGAAGCCGCATTCCTTTCGGAGAGGCGCTTCCTGGAAAGCCAGCTCCACAACTGCCTGCCCCTCCCCTGCCTGCCCTCCTTTCCCTGCCCGCCCACCGGAGATGCCCGTTGTCTGGAGATGGGAGGCCCTGCCTTGCCTCTCGGCGCCAAGCCGGCGGGCACGTGGCTGCCCAATGCTTGAGCAGACTCTGCCGGGACCCCACCACCTCCCGCCCTCCAGGGCTGCCCAGCCTTGACCTGGCACTGCCCCACCGCACTTTTCCAGCCCCACAGCTCCGGTTAGGCTCCGAATTTGCCCGAAGGGGTGACATAAAAGTGCGGCTACCTCACTGACCCGATATTGTCTTCTCCCTGGGGTCCAAGGGAAGTTGGTTGAGCACCCCTAGGGAAGGTTTCCCCCCCCTCTTCCATCCCCCTGGCTCCTGGCACAGCGTCTGGTAGGCTTATCTATCCCACTCGGCTTCCTGTTTCAATGCTGGTGGCGCCTGGGCTGATACAAGGCTCCAAGGCCGGAGCTCGCGAGACTCCGTGGCTTCTCTCCTTGGACCCTCAGCCCAGCCCCAAGCGCCAGCCCAGCCCGTCTCCAGACACATGTTCTGGGGAGGTGCCTCGCAAGGGGCAACATCAATAGCAATTCCAGAAGCCCCAAGGTGGGACTTTCTGAAGCAGACCAAGACAGGAGTTGGCAAAGCTTCCTTGCTCAGGGGCAGTGTATCTCTCAGTGGCCCAGAGAGAGGCTATTGCCGCATCTCGGAGGGAACCTGGAAGGAACCAAACCGGGCCGTTTCCCTGCAGGCAGAACAAGACCGTGATCTGCTCATTAACTAAGTTCCTAGCGGGCTCAGGGCGACGTGTAAACCAGAGCCTAGGGAATCGCAGGCTGTAATTCTCTCGGGAGGAAAGTCTGGCTAGAGACAGACCTTCAAGCTGAAGCTTCCTTCTCACGAGAGTGAGACCAGCTGGAAGCCCTGAGGGGTCTCTCCTCAGCCTCCCCCCACCCCCCAGCTACTGCTGGGGAAGCAGCGCCTCGTCGCCCTGCCGCTGATACTTCCCGGCATCAGCGGGGGTCCTGTTTGGCTCTGCCTGGCTAAAAAACAGCCCCCCCCCACTGCTTGCCGGCTCTTCTCAGGAAGAGCCCACAAAAAGCTTGTTTACCGAAAAGCCTTCCCAATCCCTGTCCTACCACTTCCGGCTGGGCTGGCTGGCTGGCGGGCTTCGCAGCGGCAGCCTCTTCCTCCGTCCCAGCTCTTCTTGCAAAGCTTTCCTCTCCCACCCACCGCAATCTCTACCGGAGAAGCTGCCGGGGTAGGAACTAAGCTTGGTCAGCCAACCGGCAAATTCACCCTGACAGAATCAAGGCGGAAGGAGAAATCTGCTCCCGTCCCACGTTCATTCATTCGTTCGGAGAGTAAGAGAAGGCGAGCGAAGCGGGTGAGGGGGATATCAAGGGAATAGCCTTGGCCGAGGGTGATGCTCGCCCCCTGGCCAAAGACTTCCAGGCCAGGCCAAGCAATGCTTCCTTCAATTCAAAGGGGTGGGGGGTGTGCTTTGTGCTGGAGGGAGGAGGAGGAGGAGGAGGGGATGCCTCTTTGCCCCTTGACCTTATTTGGGGAAGACACACACGCACACTCGTTGCTGGCTGTTGCACCGCCAGCCAGCCGGTGGATCTTCTTACAGGGTAAACAAGCAAGGAATGTTGTCCAGCTCAGAAGAGCAGCTGGTGCACCTGACTGTAGCCCAAGCAACGTCAAGGAAGGGCCCCATGGAGTAGCCAGCCTTCCCATCACACACACACACACACACACACACAGAGAGAGAGGGAGGGAGGGAGGGAGGGAAAGACGGAGGGAGGGAGAGAAAGAATACAGAACAACAAGAGTTGGAAGGGATCTTGTAGGTCATCTTAAGCCTGGAGGACTTCAACTCCCAGAATATCCCAGCCCACCAGGCTTAAAGTTGCCACGGTTGGAGACCCCTGATCTACTCAAGTAGGAGACCCTGTACCAATTATACCACACACACATACGCAAATAAATTCCCCTGGAATTAATTGCAAATGGACCACCAGGGAAAATACGTGCCGTCCCAACTCTCCTTCTCTACAGCTGACCCCCTTCTGAGGACGCAGAGTTATCCCAGACCGCCCCCCCATCCCAAAGAGGCCCCCCCCCACCGCCCCCGTAGCCGGGACGTTTCCCCCCCCCCCCCAGCAAAGCGTCTTCTTTCGGCCGAAGACCAGGCGCACGTGCTGGAATTTATGTAACTCGCACCGCCCACCCTATCCGACAACGGGAACCTATAAAGGGAGAGCGAGTCACAGGCCAGCCTGGTGGAGGCTCAAGGAACGTCCCACACGAAGGCCGGCCGGAGGAGCAAATGAGGCCTCTGGTCAACAAAGAAGCCAGGAGGGAAAGGAGGGGTGGGTGGGAGGAGAAGGCAAAAGGGCCACCCGCTTCTCAGCATTGTCCGGAGGCGGGGGGCAAAACCCACTCAACTCAGCTGACTATCTGGGCCAGGTTTTCCCACCAGCTTCTCCCCCATCACCCCACAGACAACTGGCTCAGCTGCTCCTTCCGAATTAAAGAGAACAACCTTCCCCCTTCTGAACCAAAGGGGGGAAGGGCAGCTTCTGACCCCCAGGCTACAAGCAAGGAATGTGGGGTGGCTGCCTCTGCCCCCCCATAACACATTCTCCCTCGCCAAAACCACTGGCTGCCCACGGAGAAGCCCTGGGCCAAGAGGCCGCTAGCCAAACCCTAACCTCGGTATTCCTTCCGTCTTCTGAAAATGGGCAGTCCTCTTTGCAAGAACGACCCACCCACCGCGCCTGAGCAGGACACCAAATCATTGCAAGAAACAAAACAATTCTTCCCACATGTGCCCCCCACCACACTCCAGTTCAGAAACGGCACAAAACCAACTCTGGCGACAGGCTTGCCCAATTCGGACGCTCTCCAAAGCCTTTGGCGCGCAACCAGCATGCCTCAAAGGGAGTTCTCCCACCATCACCCTTCCTCCTCCTCCTCCCACGGAGCCCCCCCTCCAAAAAATAGAGCCGACCACAAACATGTCCCAGAAGGCAGAGGGTCTTCCTCCATCAGCCGGCTGGGATTCCTTCTTCAGTAGGTGCCCTTCCACTTACATTTTGGGTGGTTTAGGGGTGGGGAATTTTGGGGGGGGGTGTCTGGGGATTGCCACATGTTATGGGCTTGGTCTCTGTGTTGTGACCCAGGCCCAAGTAGGTATTATCAGATGCAATCAGTTCAAAAACAAACAGACTTTATTAGAACAGCTGAGGATTAACTCTTTCTCAGGGTCGTCCAAACTAAATCAAAACAAATTCCTCATAACACAATTCTTCAGCCTTATCACCAACCTTGGGTCTAATTAGGCAACCTGCCAAAGGCTTTTCTTTGTTCAGGAGCAGAAGACACCGACAAGAAATAAATGCAACAAGACAAGAAGCAAATCTGTCAACGTAGTTTTCCGATAAAGAGCCCAAGAGCCGTTGCTGGTCTTTTAAGCCTTATGGGAGGGGCCAATCATCTCTTGGTCCTACTCCAGAGTCGTCCTTTTAGCTTTAACTGCTCTTGCCTTCCGGCAGCTCTTCTCATGCGTGCACTAGGAACAGGCTCCTCCTGTTCCTCTGCCTCTCTACTGTCAGCCTCTGGAGGCTACAGAGTCCACACATCACTCCCCGATGGCCCTGGCCCCATCTCTGCCTCCGACGCAGAGCCCTCATCCGGGCCTTCCCCAGCCTCCAGGACTGGCCCCCGTTCTTCCTCAGCCTCCTCACTGTCCGACTCCGCTGCCAGCTCTGCAGGCAGACCACAGCACTCTGGGTGTTTTGTGAATTCCGTTGTATGAGTATACTGTGTAAATACGTACAATGACAATTAACTTTATATATATATATATATATATATATATTCAAGTGCAACCGAGATTCCCTACAGATATGAAATAAAAGCTGGTTTCGTTCTTACAAAAACTCAGACCAATGTTTTATCCAGTGAGGACAAACCATTCGCTTCTCTCTTTAAAAGACGGTGCCAAGCTTGCGGGGGAGACTCCGTTCTTGGGGAGCCTAAAAGCCAAGCCTTCTCCGAAGGGTTAGGACTCCACTTTCCGGAAGCCTCAGCCACCTGATTTTCCCATGCCTCCAGCATTGCCTGCAAATGCCCACCAGTGGGCATGCGCGCTGCACTCGCACACACACCAAACTCGCACTTCCGCGCATGCTCGTTACGATCGAAAGTTACCTTCTACTGAATCCAGAGTGAGTAAAACAGCTGAGGAGCGCCTATCAGCTGGGCTTCAAACAAAAGAAATATACCGTATTTTTCGGAGTATAAGACGCACCTTAGTTTTTGGGGAGGAAAATAAGAAAAAAGCTGATTGGCAGGTGGGAATACCCCCAATCACCTGTTCCCAGATGTGAATTTTAGCAACAGGTTCCTTGGTTGTGAGCTCTGGGTCTTTCTTTTTTTTTTTTTTTGCCTCTAGAACTTCTGAAACTGTTTGAGAAAAAACTTTATTTCCTGCCTCTGAAAGCCTCCAAAACAGAGCTTCAAAAAAAAAGCCTCTAAAGCTCTGTTTGGGGGCTTCTTTTCTGAAACTTCTTTTCTGATGCTTTTTTCAGCCGCTGAAACCTCCATTTGAGAAGCTCGGGTGGGGCTACATTCGGAGTATAAGACGCATCCAGATTTTCACCCTCTTTTTTGGGGGGAAAAGGTGCATCTTATACTCCGAAAAATAGGGTAGGTAGGTTATAGCGGAGGGGCGGGCAGGCCCATCTGATCTTCGGCGCAAACTTGTTCGCTCTCAGCTGATCGTCGGAGGTACTGGTATGCCCGAATCAGTCAGAACCGGCTGAATCCCATCCCTGATGCCCACCGTTTCCAGTGGTGGGTTCCTCCCGGTTCAGTCTGGTTCGGCCGAGCCGGGAGCGGTGACAATATGACGTCACCGAACCAGTTCTTCCCCCCCCCGCCCTCCCACCCACCCACGTTATTCTTACCTTTTATTTGGTCCCACCCCCAATCTATTGCTGCCTCCTGAGTCCCAGCTGATGACTAGAGGGAAAAAAAACTGTTTAAATTCTTGCCGCGGAGCTTCAAAGGGCTGCCCTACAGCTGATCAGTGTTAAAAGCAAACAAATGAGTCGGGTCGTAAGTGCGAGGACCTTCCAGAAATGACTCTGACCAGCTAGCCACGCCCACCGAGTCACATGACCTCCAAGCCACACCCACAAAATAAGCCACGCCCACAGAACCGGTAGTAAAAAAATTAGAACCCACCCCTGACCCTTTCCCTCTCTATCGCCCTCCCCCCAGCACCATCCAGACCCCAGAGATTTAGTCAGAGGATTTTCCCAGCCCACAGGAGACGCCATTCCTTGCAAGAAATATTCCATGCCAACAGAGAGATTCCTGGGAAAACCACCCTGTCTCATCTCGTCTGCTAGCATTCCATTCCCCACCATCCAGTCAGAGCTGAAGAAGCTTCTCGGGATGAGAAGCGAAATGTCTTCGAAGAAAAAGCAAGCAAGTCCAGTTGCCTCTTGGAAAAAAAGGCATATTTGGGCTACCAGCAGGGATCTGTTCAACATCTCACCTCTCTTCCCCCTCCTCCCCAACACTCCTCTGTCCTGGGAAATGGCAACTGGACCAGAAGACCACCTGCTTCCTACTTGACCAAAGCTAGAGAGCCCCCCTAGGACGTGGGGCCCCCCTAGGTCAGGAGCTCAACAAAGGCCTTCCTGGAGAAGACAGTCTGGCTGGTAGGGGTCCTGCTCAAAAAGACATTGCTGTGTCCTTCCACCTGCCCAGGAAGATGGATTGGAGACCCACCCAACCTCTTTAAAAGTTAAAGGTTCCCCTTGCACACATGTGCTAGTCGTTCCCGACTCTAGGGGGCGGTGCTCATCTCCGTTTCAAAGCCAGAAGAGCCAGCGCTGTCCGAAGACATCTCCGTGGTCCTGTGGCTGGCAAGACTCAATGCCAAAGGCGCACGAAACGCTGTTCCCTTCCCACCAAAGGTGGTGCCTGTTTTTCTACTTGCATTTTTTTTTTTACATGCTTTCGAACGGCTAGGTTGGCAGAAGCTGGGACAAGTCACGGGAGGTCACCCCCGTTATATGCGGCCCCGGGGATTCGAACCGCTGAACTGCCGACCTTTCGACCGACAAGCTCAGCGTCTCAGCCACTGAGCCACCGCGTCCCTAACCTCTTTAGCAGCCTGAAAAATAAGGGAGTGTTGTACTCTTGTGTACGGCGACACAAGGGAAAATGGGCAACGAAGCCCAGAGGCGTTTCTGGTCCTGAATCACTTCCTGTTCGAGTTTCTCACTGGGCCTGGAAGAGAACAGGCCGCGCAGTTCCCACTGCAGCCGCCAGCAGGGCTCCGTTCCATCTGG